GAAGGCTGGCCTGCGCAGGAGGGGCGCGAGGTCGGAGAAGTCCTCCTCCTCGAGCTCCTGATTCCCGACGGCGCCCTCACGTGTCGGGAGCTGAGCCTGTTGCATACGCTTGCAGTGCATGCAGGGAGGCGGCCGGCTGGGCATCACGGGCCCCGCAACTTCCTCCGACTCCAGGTACATCTCCCAGCCCACCGTGAGCAGCTCGCGGATGGGCTTCCCAGCGAGTGTCCAGGTCTTGAGGATCTCCCCAAAGGCTCGGCCCCGCCTGTTGGGGCCCTGGCTGCCGATGGCCGGCGGCCGGAGCACCCGCATATGGCCTCGGTGGATCATGACGTGGACCTCCTTCTCGCTGGTCTGCGTCGGCAGGGCGGAGTCGATCTCGAGCTGGTTCCAATGGTTGATCCTCCAGACCCGGACGGTGGTCGTGTTGAGGGCACTCAGTGGGAAGACCGCGATGCACCTGAAGTCCTTGTCGTGGTGCGGGTGCTGGACGTCGTGGCAGTGCATCCTGAGCTCGGCTTCGCGTGGTGAGACGAAAGGGGGGGCGCCCCCCAGCGCGGCGGAGGCGGTGGTGGCTCCATCCCACAACTCTCGGCGGAGCTGAGCAGCCACGGCCTTCGCGGCCGGCGCGTCAGGCTCTTTATCCTCCCAGAGCAGGGCGGCTGCGATGTGGAGTGCCAGGCACTGCCTGAGCTCTGCGTCACCCTCCTTGAGGCCAAGTCGGGTTCGCATCTCTTCATCGGGTTGGAGCTTGTCCTGGAAGTCAAGGTAGTCCCATTCTTGGTCCTGCACCGTGAGCTTCCCGCGGCCTACCCCAGCGTCCTCGTCCCAGGTGGCACCTCCAATGCTGAGGTCCTGCGTGCTGCTCCTCCCCGCCTTTGATCCCAGCTTGTCGAGGGCTCGTCCTGCTTCCTCGGCGAGGGTTGGCCCCCCGTCACGAGTTGCCTCCAGCAGTATCTCTTCCAGGCTCAGGGAGATGCCTTCTGAGCTGGCGCGTGCGAGCCTGGCCAGGGCGCGTGAGTGCAGGTAGTCGCTGATGTCGCCCAGGGTCGCGAGGGTCCCGCTCTCCAAGATCTTCTCGATGATGTTCCATCTTTCGAGGGCAGCTGGGTGCGTCGTCTCGCCAGTCCCCTCTACTGCGGGCGCGTGGGCGCGGGCGTCCAGCAGCCAGTCCTCCCCGGGGCCTTGAACGGCCTGTCTGAGCTCCTCCTCGAGGGCGGTGGTCTGGATCTCGTCGAAGGCGGCAGGGGGGGGCCAGACAGCCGGCGAGCCTCCCGCTCGGCTGCCTCCCGAAGTTGCCCCGGGGCCTTCCCCGGCACTTCCGCCAGCCCTTTTGCTGTCCGCTTCGGCCTTAGCCTGGGCCCTGAGCGGAGCTACTCGCCCGTCGACCGAAGCGGGGTCGACCTTAGCTCCAGACTTCGGGCCGCCGCGCCTGATGAGCTGCGCCTGCACGGCCCAGTCAAGGCTGCCAAGCCCCTTGATGGCCTCGTGGGAGTGGGCGCAGGTCCCCGCCGCCTTGGGGCAGCCGGCCCAGGTGCAGGCGTCCCAGCAAATGACCTTCCCATTCTTGTCACGGGGGGCGTACTTGACCGGGCGCCCGATCTCGCTGGAGGTCAGCGCCTTGCCCGCTGGGTATGCCCGGGCGGCGGGCCGCTTCTTGGCAGCGGCCTTCTTGACGGCGGCCCCTGCCTTCCCTGTGCCTGGCCCAGCCCCTGCGGGGGCTTCCTGATCGGCTGGGGCGTGGTCGTCGGCTTTCCCGGCCTTGGGGGTCCTCGAGGGGCCGGCATGGAGGTTCTGGTGGAGGAACCTCTGCAGCCGCCGGGCCTGGCGTGGGACGCATGCCACCTGGTAGTGCCCATCCGGCGCGTCGAGGTCGTAAACATTCGGGAGTGTCAGCCACGCGCTTCCGGACGGCCCCGTGGGAGCGAGGGCGATGGTCTTGATGTCCTCCCGGCGCGGGTTGGTGAGCCCCAGGATGCGGCATACCTCCCTCCGCTTCTCCCGAAGGTGCTCGCACCAGGTGGCGGCGAGCTCTTCCCAAAGGCTGTGCACGTAATCAGCGGGAAAAGCCACGTCATCCTCCTCGTAGGCGAGGCGCAGGGTCTCCAGGGCCCGGCGCCTCTCTGGCTCGTGCATCCGCCCGTAGACCAGCCCGAAGACGGTGATGGCGTTCTCGGCCTGCCTCACCCACTGGGAGAAGACGACTGGGTGCCGGGGGCGCGGTTCGAGCTTGCACGTGGTGGGCGCGGTGTAGGCGTCGAACACTTCTGCTTTGCAGTGGGGAAAGTCAGCCACTGAGATCGACCACTCGGCCAGACCCCTGTGGTCCCGTCCTCCCCAACAGAAGGCGGCAATGCCGTGCGCCATCCTGTTCGTCACCGTCGTCGGCCAGTTCACCGCCTGCATCGCATGCTTCGCGTGCTCGCAGGCGCGCTTGAGGCCATGGAACAACTCCCGCCCGGTCAGGGTGCCGCAGACCTCCACGTCGAGGGTGTCGCAG